TTTCTTCGATCCCCCCCCCCCCGTTTGAAATAAAACAAATATAGAACAATTGATGATGGCTGGTGCTATATTCTTTCTTTTTTTTTCGTGTCTCAGCTCCTGTCGTGTTAATAGCAGGCCGGAGAGAACACATCCTTGAGTCAGATTTCAAGACACTTTTGGAGCCCTACTGTGCAGCACATGAGTAGTAAGTACACACGAGGACAAACTCACCCCATTGGTTTATTAAATACACTTTTGTTGACCGCTTCTAGAAGAAGCAAATGATCCGAAGGATAGCTGAGCTGCATCGTGGAGGTTGGAAGAGATACCTCAGAGTACTGAGACCTTCAATGCGTAAGCTTACCTGCTTTAGTCCAAGGCAACTTTTTTCGGCAATGAAGGGAAAGCTACGGGAGTGCAGTTTTCTGAAAATGTGCTCCTACGCAAAGTGGTCTGATCTGCTGCACGTCTCGCGATTCTGTGGCAAGTGATGGCTGAGTGCATGCCGCAATAAATACAGAGACAGACACCGCTTATTGTTTGAGGTCCCTGTAGAAGACGTTTTTTTTCACGTGTGGAAAAATGCAGCGACACCTATATAAGACTGATGTTGCTACTTGCCGTCTAAGAGAGCTACAAGTAAAATATTGTTACGGTGAGATGCCTTTATTTACAAGAGATGATGAATGCGAGAGTCCGGAGATCTGACCGATCACCGCTCGTGCCAACCTCGTTCTCCTTTTTTTTTTCACACGTCCCCTCAGTATCGTAGCAATTCCCCCTTTGCAGGCGATGCCACCGGGTGACTTATGCTTTGTTGCGATGATGATAGCGTTTTGAACGGGCACAATAAACGACGTTGGTCTTGCTTGAGCGGCGGGCAGTTGACAACAGCTTAGATATTACGTACGTGACATGGCTGAGACGTTCCAGGACAACAAATTAACCAGTCTATTTGGCCGGAAACTTTTGGCAGAAGCTGCGCTTGCGAAGCGGCGTCCATAGCCACACCAAATTCCTTTTCTCAAACAATACGTGCCGGTGACTTCTGTTGTAACGGTTCTTAGAGCGTTTCTGGGAGGCTAAAGTTCGAAGACAGGCGACGCACCGGGCCTTTTCTGCGCGGCAAACGGTTCGAGCGAGGGTAGGTTGATCAGTCTCGAAAATAGAAAGACTAGTGCCAAGAGCTGTGCGGGGTTGGCGTGCGTAGAGCAGATAAAGTGGACTGTATCTCGTTGTTTCAAGTTGTGCAGTGTTGTAGGCGAGAGTTTTAAATGGCAAGGTTGCGTCCCATGTTTTCTGTCCGGAATCAACATACACTGAAGTCATGTTGACGAGAGTCCTAGTAGTTCGTTTCGTCAAACCATTAGCCAGCAGGCGATACGGGGTAGTGTGACGAAAATGGCATGAAGCAAGACGAAGGAGGTCTTCAAATACATCGGCAACAAATTGCCGCCCGCGATCACTGATGATGACATGGGGTGATCCATGGCGTAATATAACGTGCGACAGCATGAACTGTGAAACTTGAGTGGCCGTTGCCGCTGGAATCGCCGCAGTTTCGTCGTAACGTGTGAGGTGTTCAACGCCCACAATAACCCATCGGTTGCCGTTCGTTGATCGCGGAAAAGTGCCGAGCAGGTCAACGCCGACGACGTCAAATGGTGAACACGGGGGTGCTATGGGATGGCGGAGTTGTAGGGCGCTTGTGGCATTGACATTGCTCACAGCTCGCAACGTATGCGCTCACACTTTTACGCATCTTCGGCAAGAATAATCGTTCTTGCGTGCAATAAAATGTCCTAGAAAAACCCATTTGGCCAGATGTTGGGTCGTTGTGCATTGCTCGAAATACGTGTTGTTGCAGACTTGTGGGCACAAGTAGAAGTAGGTGAGGGCCTATGCCGGAATAATTGTTTTTGTAAAGAACGCCATCTTTTAGGACAAAAAGACGTTGACCATTTGTTCCGGAAATAAAGAAAAAAGCGAGACTGTTGTCACAGCGTTGCTCTCCTAAAAATTACGGCATATTCACGGGGTGAATGATGATGAATGGGCGAAGCTCCGGAGGGATTCATCGGTAAACTTTGAATCTTCCGTGTAATTCGCCCAGTCGATCATCATGTAAAGACGTGAGAAACGCTGTGTGTGTATATACACAAATCAACTTTTATTTGTTCTTAGACGATGGATGGCTTGCGATGTCCCTTGCCTCGCGCGCTCGCACATCGGGATTCTGTCTGCGAGCGCGCGCTGCTGCCGCCTTGCGCTCTCTCCGCTGCGCAGCCTTATCCATCCGGCGACTCCGAGCGCGCGCCAACAGCGAACGGATTTTATTACAACGCTCCCCCTAGCGTACGTCGCCGCACTAAATCGAACGATTGCCTTCAACCAATGACACGCGCCATATGTGACATCATTCCTATTTTATAAGATCTCGCGTCTTTCATCAACTACAAGTACTGCTTTCTAGTTTATAACATCTTGCATCTTTTCATCATCAGCTACAAGTACCACCATCTAGTAAACACTACAAGAACTAAACGAGAGGTGGCTACATACAGGAGACGGTACCGCCATCTAGTGAACACTGCAAGAACTAAAGTAGAGGTGGCTACATACAGGGGACGGTACCGCCATCTAGTGAACACTGCAAGAACTAAACTAGAGGTGGCTACGTACAGGTTACAGGGGACGCACAGCCCACGCCCTAAGGAGCTTCGTCCCCTAAAAGTTGTTACGTCAGGAAACGAAGTATCCACTACAGTCAAATATTCATCAAAGTTGTCAGCGTCACACTCGGTTGTCGGAAGGAGAAGCCGTGAAAAGCAATCGGCGTCGGCTTGACGACGACCGCTCTTGTAATAGACTTAAATTCGTGTTCTTGCAATCAGTAACGCCCAACGAGGAAGACGACCAGATGGGTCCCGTAGTCCAGTTAGTCAACATAGAGAATGGTGGTTCATGATAATCGAGAATTGGCGTCCGTAGATATAAGGGCGAAACTTGTGCACGGCGAATATGACTGCGAGACATTCCTGCTCTGTGCCACTATGGTTTCGCTCCGGTTTACTTAAACAGTTACTGGCATAGGCCACGACGTGTGCAGCAACTGCATGGCGTTGGACCAAGACGGCGCCGATACCTACATCACTGCCGTCGGTATGAACTTCTGTGGCAGCAGATGGGTCATAGTGGCAAAGTACGGGCCCTGATGTAAAAATGAACTTGAGTTGCGTAAAAAACGACTCGCATTCCGCTGAACACCAAAAGGAGCGTTATTGTTGAGTAGGGGCGTTAAAGGGTAAGTGAGGTCGGCGAACTTGGGCAAGAAGCGACGGAAGTACGAGCATAGGCCCAAAAAGCTTCGCAACTCTCGTACTGACTGAGGTTGTTTGAAGCTGCGGACTGCAGTGACTTTCTGGAGGTTGGGTCGAACACCATGCTTGTCTACCAGGTGAACGAGAACGAGAGTCTCACGGCTGCCAAAGTGACACTTCTTGGAGTTCAGGGTGAGCTTAGCTCTCTCAAGGCAGGTGAGAAAAATGTCTAGACGATGGTTGTGCTCATCGAATGTACGGCCAAAAATTATAACGTCATCCAGGTAGCAAAGACAAACTTCTCGCTATAGTACACGTGACACAGAGTCTATAAGGCGCTCAAACGTGGCTGGAGTGCTGCATAGGCCAAAAGGCATTACATTGAATTCAAAGAGACCATCTGTGGTTATGAAGGCCGTTTTTTTGTCATTCGGATGCATGGGGATTCGCCAATAACCAGAACTCAAATGCACAGAGGAGAAGACGATACCGAATGTAAACAATCGATGACATCATTAATTCTGGGAAGTGGGTAGACATCTATTTTATTAACAGCGTTGAGCAACCTGTAGTCCACGCAAAATTGCCATGTACCTGCCTTTTTTCGGACGAGAATCGCAGGGGCAACCCAAGGGCTTCACGACTCTTGGATGACCCTTTTCTTTAACATCTTTTCTACCTGTTGAGCAATGGCCTTGGGTTCCACAGATGAGATATAGTATAGTTTCTGCCGGATAAGGTGAGCGGACCCTGGGTCAATCCGGTGGCGAGTACGCGACTCGGGTACACTTATGTGCTCCTAATTCTGCGCAAAGTCAAATATAGTAGCCTGCTTCGCAAAGACTTCGACCAAAGCTTCACGTTTTTCTAATGATAGCGACTCGTTTACCACATTCAGAAAGTTCCCAGGCAGCACACCCGCGTTGGGCCAATCTTGGACTCGCTTCGGCTAACGTCGGCCGCATTACTGGCCCGAGGTTGGCTTCTCAACCAAGTGCAACTTCTTCCGTTGTAGGACCAATGTTCAAGCCAACTTGTGGCCAACATTCTGCCGTGCATTTGCCAATATCCAGCAGACGCCGGCCCACTCTCACAAGCCAATGAAGGCCCGTCTTTTGGACGACGTAGTTGCCAACGTACATCCAGCATAGGATCATTCTCGGGCCAATTTGTGGCAAATACAATGCAATTATTACACCAGCATTCGCTTTATGACGAATATCAGCTACCAGTGGCTTCACAATATTCCACAGTAATTAATATGGGCTTTTTGCTACTGGCATTTCTTAGCAGGTAAACCTAAATTCTGCTTCAGAACTTCCCCTAGCAGCTTATAGCAGCCCTGTATGAGCTTCATGGTGTAGTATACTTCAAGGCGACTGACCACTGAATGACTAGTGTAGAAACACTTCACGATTCCACTTAATTGTCTATTTTTACCTTTTTCTTGCATTGTCTATGCCCTCCACCATGTAGAGCCTAAGACTGCACAGGTCTAGTTACGGTCTAGTTTCTCCACACATTCTTCCTCAGTTTTGCGAGAAATTGTAACATAGGATGTTTCATCAAGAATTAGCTAAACAAACAATAACTAAAATGACTGCTCGGTGCAAATATTCCGCACACAAGCAATCTATAAATAACAATACCAGAACACAATTTTTGTAACTTTATTTTTATATATACCATGTCTAACCATTTATTTTTCAGTTCAGCTTTTCAAGTTACTGCTGTTCAGTAATACAACCTAAACTAGGAGACGAGTTCCACAAAGCTCTATGGGCATATGGCTGACCAGAGCAGCAGAGGTGGGGCGATGGTTTAGAGGCTGCAGCAGGAGATGCGGCAATGACGGTGGGCTGACCAGGGTCCTGCAAGCAGCGATTGGGCATGAAACCAACCATCACAGCATGTCGCAGGTACCTGCTCGGAGGGGCAGGACTGATCGGGCTGCAAATCTATGAACACATGTGTGAAGTGCTTTTCCTAACCTCCATCGAGGCCAACAAACTTCAACAGCCATGTTTTGATGAAACGCTGAGCTTTTTCAAACACCTGCATACGTGAATAGAAGTAAACACCTCAAAATAAGTTCTCAGCACTGAAGTGTAACATATATGCAAGTTAAATCAATAACAGAACAATGAAAAAAATGACAGTAGACCTTATAATGAACTATTCAGATCAAATGCAATGTGGCCATTATGAAAAGAAATGAACAAATACTTCAACAGTCATTGTGCAAAAAATCAGCGACAGACCAAAATATTTAGGAATAGGTTTTATTAAAAGTTGAATAAAACAAGCTTGTTTGACTAATTTACAAATAAACAACAGGTCTTTCTAGACTTCTAAACATGATTTACAGGGTTGCAAGCCAGGTGAACATGTCTGCAGCTATAGCGTATGGCTGTATAAATTTAAAACAGGGCAAAAAGAGACACGACCGCACGAACTTTCAACTCTGGATTATTCTTGTGCAGTATTAGCGGATGTGTGCCCAAGATGATGACTGACCACCAGACACACAACACAAGATAAAAGTATCTATGCAAACCCAATTTCAGCACTGACATTTGTAGATATTGCAAGGCTCCTGTATTAATTTTAAAGTGGTATCTCCAAATGCTATGAAAAATTTGCTGATGTGGTTTCCTGTGTTTTTCTTTTGCATTAAATCAACTTCCGAAGTTTCACGTGCTTTTTGAGACTTGCATTGATCCGAAGTCTTGGTTTCATAGGAGATCAGGACTGAACAGGTGGCTCACCATAAAACAGCATTTGGCAGAGAGTCGCGACACAACTCAGCCATTGGCACCCAGACAACCGGCTGCAGGGAAAGCACGCACTTGTGGCGCTGCCGTGCTTTATTTTGGAACAAACAGCTGTAAAAGCTAATGCGCCAGTAATACTGCACTGTGGTTTAAAAAAAACTGTCTGAAGGCTACTCTCTTAAACAATAGCACTTGAAAACGGATAAAGCTCTGCAAAGCGGACTGCATCTATACATATAGCTTTGAAGAGACAGTGTTGTGCAGTGATGGTTATTCCCTCGTGATCTTTTTCCGGTTTGGATTTTTTGCTATGGTAGTACCAGTTTATATGCCCGTGTGGCGACGATGCTACACTGCGCACTTCTGCAGTGAAAAAAAAAGGAATAAGCAGTGGCTGAGGCAACACTTTTTTTTTCTTGCGGCAAATGTACACCCTGTCTGCGGTATGTATGTACGTGGATGTTGATCAAGCAAACCACTGTGACAGCATAGCACGAGTGGTGTCGAAATCTTATGCTTAATAGGGCGTGACGGGTCTCCGACCACAATGGCTGCATTTAGATGGGGACGAAATATAAAAGGAACACCCGTGAACCAAAAGATATGTGCGCATTGGAGAACCCCAAGCGGTCACAATCTTGGTATGCACCCTACGGCGAACCTCGGAATGATATTTTGTAGGCAGTATAAAGCCTAGCAATTATCGATGTTGAACAGACATGTTCATTTTAGGCCGACACAGGCAAGCGGAAAAAGCTCAAACTGTGTGTAAGGTGAACTAAACAACAACTAAACATCGAAGACATTTGATACTTCTCTAGCAACGCATGAATTCCGATGTTACTTAGCCACGGCAGCAATTGAGAAAAATGCTTACCGAATTGGCTGGCCTAATAAAGCTAAGATTTGGGTAGTCCACTCTTTTGTTCGTAACAAGAACCGGCAAAAAACAAGTTGGACAGAGGCACTTTGACGTCGAGTTTTCACCGCGAGAGTATCTTTTATAACAGTTTAGAGGCGTATGATCGTGGCTTTGCACAAGTGTTGTGGGCAACGCTGCTTTCCATTACGCGCAACTGTTCACAAAAAAAAACAACAAAAAAGAATACCTGCCTATCGTTTCGTTCACTGCACGCAGTGGCATCCGATAGAGTTTGGTAGTGATGTTCCAATGGACGGACGCATGGAAACTTTGTTAGTCTTGAAGTGCTCTACTCACGGAGGAAGGAAAGGTAAGGATATGCCCTGACGTCACTCGTTGTGAAGCCGCGATGAAGCCGGAAGTCGGCCATATTGACTAGGCAAATTCTCCTCTCTTGTTTACATATGAATGCGAAGCAGAAGGCGCGACTCCCTCTCCGGCTCGGAAAGCACGTGGGATGCGCAGCGCGTGTGTCGTGACGATCCGAAACTAATGGAACTGGACTCATAACTCTGAGCCAGCGGGACACCTTCAGCGAAATCGCTTCGTCCGAGTAATAACAGGGAGTAACAGCTCGCCGACAACGAAGCAACTACGAGAGAACGCGCACTAGATGCTTTGACAACGGCGAGTGCTTTCATGTCACTAATTCAGCAACTGTACGGACAACACGATCGGTCGTGCGCCTTCTACGGTTGCATTCCGCCACTGCGGCCGACGCAGAGTCCTACCACTGTGTCCGTGTTCCGCGTGAAACTCACCGGCGTCAGCATTCTGCGACCGGGGTGACTTTGAGCACGGTGCTAGTGACAGTTGAACATGGTTGCTGTTACGTTGAGATTACATGCAATGCTGGTGGAGAGTGTACCAAGCGGAACAGAAAAGGTGTTTTAATACGCACATGCAAGTTCTTACTGTACATAACACGAAACTAAGTATGTGCACGTGGTCCTCACGGAGTCTTGCTGGGCTCAACAGCGTCGTCCGTTGTCACAAGCAGGAGCACTGCTCAACCGTCACTGACCTGCAAGGCGTTCGTCGTCATTCAGCTTCGTCATGGTGCTCAACGCAATTTCGCTGAACACTAACTGCTTCATCCGCGTCATCCGCCGCACGACACATGGATATGCACTTGTTCTACGCACTGTTGAAACCCCGTGATGGACAAAGGGATTTGTAAACGTTGCTAAGAGTATTGTAACAGCCAGGAGAACACTGCGTAACCAATAACGCGGCGCAGAGCACAGATATTGTCCGCCACGGCTCAGCACGAGACCTGGGGAGGCACACATTCCGCCACTAGCCGCGGCCGCTCACTGCTAGACCAGCTCCACTGCGCAACACGTAACCATAGTAACGCCGCCATTGTGCCTAGTGAACATGACCGCCATGATGTCATTTCCGCCACATTTTTTACGCCCTGCGCCAGCTGGGCATGCCCTCTCCTTACCTTTTTCCTTCCTCCGTGTGCTCTACTCAACGCTCAGCGGGCCAGATAAAAAAAGTTTACAATACCGTTTGTTGCATATTAAGCTAGTTTCATTTCCAGCAAAACACCGTTTAAGCTCCACTTTTTGGCCCTGATTTCCACTGGTGGCTGTCGTCACTATCGAATAAATATTGCAGACACGTGCCATCCGGTTTAGAAACGAGCCCGACAGCACTAGAAAGAAGAGCGAGAGCTGATTTTCTCTCGGCTAACCGCTTGGATGCAACGCTGCCTCCTCTTTCTACATTCTGCCTTTCATATATACGTTCTCCGTTCTCCTTTTTACATACCATTGCACTTCAATATGCAGCAGTACCGCCAGTGCCCTTTGGGTTTTTTTAGAGAAATATATGTATTTAGTGCGCAGGGAACGTTTCAGAAGGAAGATAAAGCCATGATTGATATGTGGGGTTTATTGCCCCAAAACCACCTTATGATTATGAGAGACGCCGTAGTGGAGGGCTTCGAAAATTTCGACTACCTGGGGTTTTTTAACGTGCACCCAAATCTGAGCACACGGGCCTGCACCATTTCCATCTCCATCGGAAAAGGAAAATATAGCAGAGAGATAGGACAGAGCCCACACTTACAGCCAATTTTATTGCACAGATGGCGGGAATATATATATGGTCAAGAGGGCGAGGAGATCACGCACAGAAGAAAGGACAAATGATGGCGCATGCACCAGACCACCTAATTTCAATTCTAAAATGACAACTTAACTGAAATGATACCTGTCAATCTGTCGGATAATGAATACAGGTATCTTTACAGCTGAGTTGCCATTTTAACATTGGAATAAGGTGGTCTGGTGCATGCGCCATGATTTGTCCTTTCTTCGGTGTGTGATCTCATCGCCCTCTTGGCTCTGTATATTTTACCGCCATCTATGCAATAAAATTGGTTGTAAGCGGGTACTTTGTCCTATCTCTGTGCTATATCTTTCCTCTGAAACATTCTCAGCGCACTAAATATACTTATCTGGAAAAATGCAATACCAATCAGTCCAAGTAGCCACTCGTTTGGTTTTGTTACAACGATGAGCGCACGCACCATCTCTACTAGCCGCCCCTCTCGTCTGTGGGAGCAACTGAGAAATGCGCGCTTTCACCGTCAGGGTGGCCGTGAAAACTACAGCGCTGGTTTTTCATAGTAGCAACGTTTAGGATTCGACGGTGCGGGTTCCGCAGAAAAAAACCTTCGACAAGGATAACTTTGACATAGGAACCTGAACAACCCCTTTACCTGGGTTGAGTGAGAGAAGTCAAACCTGATAGGCACATCATAACAACTATGGAGAGCACGCTAAAGAACTGGAGATGGGCGGACTGTGAAGACGCAATTTAGTACTCAATTGAATCCACCAGGCTAACAAGGTATCTTTGAGGTAAAGCATCTTCATTGATGAGGTACATGTATGAATAAACTTTCATGCAACTTTGAGGTTGTTAAAACTAGAAACCAGTTGCAGATAACTCAAATAAACTTTTGATTGTGTAACTTTGTGCTAGCCTTTTTTCCTATAATATTCAGCCCAAAACAACTTTGTCTCAAAGCTTCACCACGCGATGTAAAGTCATTTGCTCCACCTCACCACCCCACCTTAATAGAGCCATTTGTATTAAAAATGCGGATCAGTAGAACACTCTGTAGTGTGGGGGAAGGTTTTAATAACGTTCTGCCATT